TATGTATATGTATGTATGTATGTGTATGTGTGTGTATGTATGTATGTATGTGTATGTGTGTGTATGTATGTATGTGTATATATGTATGTGTGTGTGTGTGTGTGTGTGTGTGTGTGTGTATATCGTAACATCTCTGCCATCTAGTGGTCATCTGGATTCTTGCAACCCAGATCTGGTAGCCCTGAAAAAGGTCACTGTTAAACCTGAAGAAATATACTTATTTTACCTCAAAGCATTCTCGCTGCATGCATATCCTGGGGACTTCCTACAGGATCCCAAATTAATCTGCAGGATATTATCAGCTGAATTAAATAATGTGTTCCCTTAAATTCTATCTGGTTCAGTGGCACATATTCTCAGGTAAGTAGGATTTCAACCTTGACAGCTTATCTGTACAATACTGGATACATCTGCCCAGAATTCTCTTGGGATTCCTAGCTATAAAGTCCCACTGAACCTGATAGAGTTACTTCAGAGTGAAATGTTCCTCAACCAAGATGAACCTGGGAGTAAATCCTACTGAATTCTGTGGAGCTTCCTTCTGAATTAGCCTGACTTACTTGTAGTGGGCTTCCCGTATACCCTACACACAGACTAGCACACACGCTCTCTGTACCAGAGTAGACTGTCAAGCCATCCGCAGAGCGAGATTTAATCTGTAGGCTGAATTATCGATTTCAAAATAGCATTTTATTTCTTAATGCTGATGTGCTTGTTAAAACCCCAAAGCAAAACTCACCTCTAGCCTTACCTAGGTCATTCCGTTCACAGGCAGCGAGCCATTCAATTTCAAGCCTTGGTATCATGCGCAGAAGTCAGGAGCAGTGAAGTAGGAAGGATTTTTCCACGGGTCTTGTTTCTACGCGAGGACTTTAGCCGGCCGGAGAGGCGCCGAGAGGGGCGGATGGGTGAGTCTCAAAGCATCCCCCTCCCCGTTTTTTGGTTTTTTGCTAAAGGCTGCGCGCTGCGGCCTCGTCCCGGCGTTTTTCAGCACCATGGTCAGCAACCGGAGCCCGGCCGCGCTCCCGCCGATTCCGCGCACGCCAGACCTGCTGCTTCGGTTCCCACGATTGTCGGCCTTAATCTTGTCCCTCCCAACTCGCAACAAGAGTCCACTCCCGGAGATCTCAGTTAAAGCAGGCTGCCTTGTCTTCGCGTCCCCCCGTCCTCCGAGGATGCCCGTTTGGAGGTCACAGGAAATATCCTGTAATACTGTATACGTGAATTCTCAGACTCCGCTAAACCACCGTGTGCTTTTAAAATGGTTTTATTACCTAAACCACAAACAGCTTCTCTATTTATTGTAAAACAGTAAGCCCTGATGTCCAAGCCTCGGTATCTGGTTCACACAACATATTAAAGCCAGCATCAAATAAGTCATGACATGGCTTAGGAACTGCAGTTTCCTGGTGCAGTCATTGGGAACAAGCTGGCTTTTGATAAAATAAATTCAAAGATGGATAGTAATGTGAGGGCATCCACTTACTATTCTGAAGGTTATGAAGTCAGAAAACAGAGAACACTCCTATCCCAATTTAAGACAGGGCTTGTCAAGTGTTCAACCTTGGCTGACTCAGGTTTGAAGTGCAATTACAAAGATAATTAGTACATTTATAGTATCTTCCATATGTTCAAAGAGTTCCCAATACAGTATTAGTATTAGTTTTGTTTATTTAAATCAGCATTACTATTTCTTTAGCCAAAAGGACAGGACCACGTTTGGTATGTTGATGTATAGTTCTCCTCTCCCTCAGCCAGGAGAGTTATTTTATATTTATATTTATTTATTTTTATATTATTTTAGAACTGTAACCCAATATCTCCATATAGCACCATGTTAGGAAAGGGTGATGTGTGGAGACCCATAGGATGGACATGCTGCACCTAACCATTATAATTTGGTTTGGTTAATTTAACAATATTCTGCATTTTCCATTAGCATTTGTATCTTGTTGTTATTGTTTATTATTATTGTATATTGTTTCTTGCATATCTCATCTGCAAGAATCACCTTACAGATTCAGCATTCTATAGATGATGATGAAGATATTGATGCTGATGCCATAATTCTTACAATAACCCAGAACAGTTAGAAATGTAAGCTGGTTCAGCATATTAACCTGGAATGTGGTTGGCTATTTTATGGCTCAGTGTGGTCTACAAATCAAGCTAACATAGTTACTTTGTAGTATTGTCTGAACCCAAGCAGTTGGGACTGCCTTACACTAAGCAAACTAACAGTATATCTAACTCAGTTTTAGTGACTGACTACAAGCCTCCATGGTTTTAAATAGGAAATTATTACAGCCCTACTGGGAAGTTCCAAGGATATAATCTGGGATTTTTTTCCAGATAACTTACACACTCTATTGGTGAGGTATTATGCATTTTCCTGATGTTATAGCCATGGGGCTAAATGAATTATTGGCAAAGATGTAATTGAAGACCATATATTGCATGATCCAATGTACTCTAGATACAGATCTGCACTCATGTTATAGTTGACGGATTTTTATTCCTTAGTTTAATAACTTAACAGCAGTACTAGATGTGATGCAATGGCTTCAGAAGTTTGTCTTTAATCCTTTATATACTAACCTCTCCTATCTCCATCCCATTTTAAAATTTAATTCAGGTTCCAGTTTGGGAGCTAGAAACATTTTAGAGATGTTGCTGGGGGAGCTGTCCAAGGACTTCCTGACTCGCCCCCTAACACGGAATGAAGTACTTGTTGTTCTTCTTCGTGTGGCCATCTTCGGAGCTACCACCTACTTCAGTATAAAGTGGGTATCAGATGCCCTAGACCCTGCCCAGAAGCAAAGAATACAGTTGAAGAAAAAAGTATGTATTACCAGCAAGCATGTTTGTGGCTGGGTTCACATGGTTAAATTAAGCCATTATTTAATCATTATTTGTTGAGTAATTGTTTCAAGAAATTCTAACATGGTAGCCTGCAAGAACAGAATGACTGGTCGTTCTTAACTCTTTTTCATTTGCTGTACCCTCAGTTGACTTTCTCACTTAAAAAAAGCAGAAACAAAAACATTGTGATGCATGCTAGAAGCATAAAACAACCTACTGAAGACCTGTGAACTGGACCAGCTCAACTACAGTCTACATTGGGCCATAGGTAGTGACAGCTGATATAAGGCTCAGTTGAAAGGTCTGGAGCTTGGTATGTGTGGGAACAGAAAAGTGTGGGACGTGTTTAGCTTTGCCAGAGCCAGAACAGTACAGATGCTGTGAGGTATTGTGTAACAACATTACATATGGAATTTGCCAACAATTCCAAGTTTTAGCAAAAGAATCAGGTTCAGAAATTAACTGCATGCCTGCTGGGAGATAATATTTTTGTTTCCACCCTTACTGGACAAGGGGAAACCGGCTGGAAAACTCCAAATCCTGAGCATTCCTCATCTGTGATGCCAGATGTGGTGATAAAGAACAACTGAGCATTTGCCTCCAGGAAACAATTACCACAGTCTTCCTGTCATGTATTTAAGCTTTCTACAGCAGCCTTCCCCAGCAATTTGGCCAGAAGGTTGGATCAGGTTGGGGAAGGCTCATCTACACAGAACATACGTTATACAAATTAAGAAAACAAGTGGAACTTCCTTTTCTTTTTCTTTCTTTCCTCCAGGAAACAATTACCACAGTCTTCCTGTCATGTATTTAAGCTTTCTACAGCAGCCTTCCCCAGCAACTTGGCCAGAAGGTTGGATCAGGTTGGGGAAGGCTCATCTACACAGAACATACGTTATACAAATTAAGAAAACAAGTGGAACTTCCTTTTCTTTTTCTTTCTTCTTTCTTTCTCTTTCTTTCTTTCTTTCTTTCTTTCTTTTTTAACAAGATAAAAACAATACAATTTTTAGAGAAGAAATAAGGAAAATAAAGAAAAATAATGTATAAGAAACAAAATAAGAAAAAGAAAGAAAAGAAAAGATTATAAAGAAGAGGCTTCTGAACTTCTTAACAGCAGTTATAAATAATACAAGTGGGACTTCCTCAAAAACGTTGTGTTCAGTTCTCATCACCTGTTTGAGGCTGCTGAAAAAGCCACTTGCTTCTCAGTAACTGCCTAGAATTCATTAGACCAGCTCTGATTACATCTCTTTTGTGCTCATTATTATGAAGACCCATAATCATACACTGAAGCTATACAGGGCACCTCTGCTTAATATACCAAGTTCAAGTCAGCAAGTCCACTTCATTAGAACAAGCGCAGCATGTCAAGCTAAATATCAGGTTTCATCCTTGAGATTATACCTGAATCTAGTCCCCTTTTAATCTCCTCTGACAGGCAGAACACCTGATGAAGCAGATTGGAATAGAAAGGGTGAAGCTGACGGAGCATGAGATGAACATTGTTGCTCATTTGGTGGTTCCCAGGGACATAAAGGTGAGAGGTGGAGTTGCTGTTTTTCTGGTCCCAGCATCAACTGTGACTTGTGGCTCTGCCTGCAATCAGTCTGGCAACTAGGAAGAGCAGTGTAGCCCTTGACTGGTAGCGGAGCAAAGCCAAAGGCAAGGGGTGGTGCCAATAGCATGAAAAGGCTGCTTACAAGAGAGAAAAAGGAAGACTCTACATGAGTCTTTAGATTTGCTCGGCATCAGTGTGCAGTTCTAAGTGGTGCAGTAGGACTGGATCTCAGGGCAGAGGCCTAGATCCCCACAGGCCAAAATGGTGCCCTGAAGAAAGTTGGTGATCCTGACAATAGCACATTGACCTGATATCCATCTCTAAACTGATATGGGAAAGGCAGGACTTCCATGTTTCTCATCAATCTCTTTCTCTTCCAGGAGTGTCCACAGAGCATGGAGGAAAAAAAAATCAAGACTGCAGCCATAACTGTATGATCAAATCTCCACCTGTATTTCATGCATGTCACAGAGGGGAGCTTTGATTGCACGGTCATGGCCACCATCTTCATGTTTTTGACCTAGCCTGTGGACACCCCTGCTTTCAGTCTATTTTTTAAAACAGGGTGGGGGTGACTGTGGTGTAGAACAATCAGACCTATTATCCAGAGAACATACGAATACTATATCTATCAAACCAAATATGATTTGAACAGTAATTAACTATCAACAACAAAATTACCTCTGTTTAATCCAAACCAGACTTCCCCACTGAGGTAGCCTTCAACTCAGATTTTAATATTCATGGGGAGAAAAAGTCAGGGGGAGGAAAGGAAGGAGAGTTAGTACAACTGCAGCTACATTTGAAGTTCAAAATTTGGACTTGGCAATGTTTGGGACCCAGCTGTTCTTACTAGGCAGTTCAGAACTTCTTTATCATTTCAGCCCTCCATAAACTTGTCCAATTTGCAGGTCACTTGGAATGATGTTGCAGGCCTAGATGAGCTGGTCAGTGAACTTCGAGACACTGTAATCCTACCATTACAACAGACACACTTGTTTGAGCACTCCAGGCTCTGCCAGCCTCCAAAAGGTATCCTTGACAAGTCATCATTTTAGAGACCTGAGAGGTCCAGAGGCAGAAGAGTCATTTCATTCCCTGCCCTCCAACTTCTGTCTCAGTCATCCTGTATCAATGTAATTTTAATTTTTTTGGTCTATTGAAGTCAATAGCCAAATGAACAGAAGCATGTAGGAAGGCCCCACATACAGAAATGCTTATTTAATTTTGTATGTTAATTGATTGGTCTTGAGGCAATAAATTAAAAATGTTGATCCATCCGATTTTGTCAAATACTAGCCAAATACTCAAATTCATTAAGAGCTGGGGAGGTAGGGGAAGAATATGAATGTGGGCTTAGGAGTTTCCCTTTTATTTAGGTGTCTTACTTTATGGGCCTCCAGGATGCGGTAAGACCCTTCTTGCCAAAGCAATGGCCCAGGCATCCAACTGCAGGTTCATCAATCTTCAAGCATCTACCTTGGTGGACAAATGGTATGGAGAGTCGCAGAAACTCACAGCTGCTGTTTTTTCTCTAGCAACCAAAATCCAACCCTGCATAATTTTCATTGATGAAATAGGTAAGATCCCAGTCCTTGGTTCTTGTACCATATACTATAATTCAATGTTCCTTGTTCGTTATCAGCTCCGACTTTAAAAACTTACCCTTTTGAGCATTGAATCAATAGTGTTCTGCTTAGGTCCTTTCCCCCTTCTTTCCATTAAATAGGCTTTTATTAGAACAGAACACTGTAGGTGAAAAGGAATGATATGGGGTGGGGAATCAGATTTTTATTAAGTGCTTGGACAAATCACTTGCATTTTAGCAACACCAGCTTGCCTTTTCTTTTAAAAGAAATCTGAGATGTTTCTGATTGGCTATCATATTGCTTGTGCTCTTTTGTAGTAACATCTGTGATATCCTATTAACTTTCTATTCCTATCTTCTCCCTGAAAGATCCCAAAGGGGGGTAGGGTGGCTTTTAAATCCTTAAAAAAACTGAGGATTCTTCTTTTCTCTTCCACCATCCATAGTATAAGATCATATTGTAAGAAGCAATGGTTCGGCCTTTGGAAAAACCTAATTCCCACTGTATTTTGCTATTGTTTTGGAATGAGGTGAAAGAGAAAGCAGAAGTTGCTAAACAGAACGGACCAAAACTTGGAGAAAAGCAGTAATTCAACCTTGCTGAACTACTATCTTTATGTTCTACCCATTCCTGGCAGATGCCTTCCTGAGGAACCGCTCCAGAACTGACCATGAAGCCACGGCTATGATGAAAGCAGAATTCATGAGTCTTTGGGATGGGCTGCAAACGGAGTCTGATTGCCAGGTAGGGCTTGGTGCTTGGATCCATTAATGCAAATGGAGTCCAAGCCATCATTAAAAATACGGATCTTCAATTCTTCCACCATAGCAATAGTCCTGTGTATCTGCCTGGTTTGCATATGAGGATCTACCAAAGTTGGCCTTTTAAATAGACTGAAAAAAATGTTAAAACATCACAAATAAACTAAAACTACATAATCACTTGAAGGTTAAATTTAGAGACACATGGTGATAATGGCAGTGGTCTGGTACATACAACACACTAAGCCAAAATGTGCTGAGTCTTTATGTAACCCCAGCCATTGTGATGGTTAAACCAGAATTTATGGTTAACATGAAATCTAAACTGGTTGTGGGCAACTGTTTACTGGGCCACCTTTAGAAGAGGCAAAGGACACAGTGGTGGAGCAGTGATGCAAAGCAGATGGGAACTTTTCTTACCTGCACAGGCAGGTCAGGAATTCTCTTCTGGGATTTTATTGGGGGGAGGGAGTTAGACTTACATTCAGTCTATGTAGCACTCACACAGGTTTCCTTCCCTCAGGATTGTGGGAAATCATACTGATCTTTAGAGGACTGCAGAAGACAAGTCCTGGGGATTTAGCTTGTCTATCCATGCAGTAACCATGTTTAAAAACCAAAACCCATGTACATGAACCCATTCTGAGAGTTTTACTCCTTTCCTGAGAAGTAGGTGGAATACTTTCCCATTCCTTCTGTTCAGAAGGATCTGGCTGGCCATGGGGGGAACTGAATGCTTGGCAAGGAAATCCCCGGAATCTTCTTTCATTCTTAAGCCTCATTTAAACATGATATATTATATTTCCATGCTATAGTAACACATGCACAAATATAGTTTGGAATAGAACAGCATAGAGATCTTAGAAATAAATTATATAGTCATTCATACTCTAAGTAATCAGAACAACATAGATAACTGGATGGTCAACAGACTGTCATGCAAAAAAATGAAAAGAATGGAAAATCAACCATATAGGTTTGGCTTGCAATGTGGGTTTATATATGACACCTTAGTTATTTGATTATGGTTATTTTAATTCTGCTTTCTGTTTTGTTGACAGAGGTTTTATTACACTATGTTTTTGGTGGATTGTTGTTAGCCACCCAAAGGATAGTCATATACATTTTCTAAGTAAGTAAGTAAATAAATATTAATGTACAAATTAAGGTGCTAGAAGATAGATAGATGATAGATAGATGTGCATGTTCTGTGAAAAAAACCAGCACTTTTGCTCATTTTAATTTACCAGATTTATGTGGTTAAAACAATCAGCAATCCTGGTGCTTTATGGCTGACTTTAAATATATATATATATTTCAGGTAATGGTGCTAGGAGCCACCAACAGGCCCCAACATGTGGACCCAGCCATCCTGAGGAGGATGCCAACAACTTTTCAGATTGCTCTACCTGTAAGCAGACCTGACTACCCTTCCCACAAACCCTCTTCCCCATCCATCCGCACTGCTAGATAGTAAGACCTCAAGTCCAATATGGAGTTTGCAAGACCCAGTCAGTCAAACCACTGCGTTCCTCAGGAAGAACGTAGTCAAAAGGTTTGTGGTACGGAGGCCTAGATGGCTTGAAGAATTAATTGCAGAAACACAAAACAACTCATACAGAACATTTCATATTTTAAATGCCTCCATTCAATGGACAGACCCAGATAGGAAGAGAGGAACAAGGTGATTTCTGGGCAACTAGATAAAATATGACCTGCATATTTTCTGTTATAGTTTCACAAGTAAAAAATGGGTCAAGAGCCAATGATGCTCTGAGACAGGCAGCTCCTTGTACTAATCAATAAACTATTCCCTTTTTCAATGTTTAAGATGGTAGAAGAACACGACAAGGTTACAAGCAGAAAATATTTCTGGCTTGGACACCCATACTCTCAACATTGCATTTTGGAAAAAAAGGCCAGATTGGACAATAAAAGACTTTTCTGGAAGTACGCTGCCTTTTTAAGAAGTTAAACTTGACAATTTGGCAAGGTGCAAGGAATAAGTCAATTGCTTTAGTATGTTGTCTCAGTTTCAGGAGGGGAGCCAACTAATTGCCTGCTAAATTGCGCAACCCAGAGAGAGTTAGTGTAGTCTCAAATAGGGCCTGTTCAGTTTGGTTCTAAAAGTAACCCTTCTTGGTTAGTTGAATAGATAATTGGGCAGAACACAGAATTCACAACCTTGGAAAGAGTATCCTGTGAACAGGACAATGGATTGGACATTTACTTGGCCTCTACTCTTACATTTATACTTAAATTTCACAATGGATTTTGATCTGGTTGATGTATTCCAATAGCTATTTGGAGTCTTGGGTTGGGACTCTGGCCCGTCTCCTGCCTACCACTTTGGCTATCCTGAAACAGGAAAGTTGCTGAAATCCAGGTGTGCAGCACTTCCTCCAGGTGGAGGACCACACCCACTCTTTGAGGGTTATGCGTAGGGTCCTCATCCAAAAAGTAGGCAAGTTCAAAAGAAAAAAACCCACGCCAGTTCTGACTTCAACATATTTACATTTAAATGTGATTAAACTTAAAATAATTTCAGTAAAGTTAATATGGTCATTCCCATTGTATACAGGCAGCATTTTCCACTGCCTGTTATACTGAAAACTACCATTTTCTGACAACTTTGGGGGGTGTATGTGGGAGCCATAAGTTGTACATTTCGGCTATGCAGTGAGCAGTATCTTTATTTTTTAAATATATCTGTAGTATCTTTTCTTTTTCTCTGAAAGAGAGAAAGCACCAGCCAGTTTGGTGTAGTGGTGAAGGCACCAGGCTAGAAACCAGGAGATGGTGAGTTTTAGTCCTGCCTTAGGCACAAAGTCAGATGGGTGACTTTAGGCCAGTCATTCTCTCTCAGCCCTAGGAAGATGGCAATGGTAAACCACTTCCAAAATCTTGTCAAGAAAACTGCAAGGACTTATCCAGGCAGTCCCCAGGAGTCAAGACTGACTTAAAGGCACCTTCCCCCCCAAATTATCTTTTTGGCATGGTGGTTTCAATCCCATTCTCTGTTCTTTTTTCTGACAGACCCAAAGGCAAAGGCAAGATATCCTGAAGCTAATTCTTGCTGGAGAAAATGTAAGTTTCCTGCTTTCCTCAAATGTTTTCAATTATACATCTTATTAAAGGAAAGAGCTGTGGAAAAAATGCCTTGTGAAATGCTAACAAGTCACTGTAGTCAGAGATAGGCTTCAAGGACCAAAGGCAAGTTAGGTTTACTCATATAAACCTTTTCAGCAATTATGTTTTAAGCACAATGGGTGGCCACCGGTAGTCCTCAGGCCAAACTATTTATTTTCATTGTGGCCTTTGGCCTAATTCTAAAAACTCATTCAGAGCTCTCAATTCTGATCTATGGTAAGAGCCACTGAGATGTTCTTCCTATGCCCTACTGTTTGGAAGATAAGGTGGTACCAGGAAGAGATGGGTTCCCTATATCGTTTTGGCTCTGGCCCTACCCGCAGCTTGCTTTGGTCCTGCCTGCGTATAGTACAGCCTCCACAGAACAAACACACTCTCAGTAGGAAGACATGTTGCCCACTCTTTCTTTAATAAACTGGTCTGTTCCAACTGGAATAATGAGAATTAACCATTTCAATAATCAAAGCAAGGACATTTTGCTCCTAACAACAAGAGAACTATGTTGCTCTTAACAACATAAAACACAGCATTAAATGCCAAGTAGAAAAGTCCTACATCGCTAGTACTCTAGTAACCTTTGGAGGTAGGACCCCAACTCCAGAACTGGCATGAAACTAAGGCCAATGTTGTTGCTGTTGAACTGCGAAGATTCAGACTTCCATCTTTCATCCATAAATTACTTCTGGGCCTTTTGACAAAGCAGCAGCACTACCTACCTCAAAGGTAAGATTTATTGGCATTCTGAAAATAAGATGGTGCCTACCATATATGTGCCCAGGGCAACCCATTTTAACATCAGGTGCCGTTAACTCCTTAATGTTTTTATTTTAAAGACTCCGTGCTGAGAAATAGCCCTGTAGTAATTTCCCCACTTCTCCTATGTTTCTTATTTTCAATATATTGGAAGGAAGAGTCTAGATTTCCTGCTTGGGGGACGGGGGGCAATAGAATGAATCAGTCCTTGCCCTGGGCATGTAGGAATTGGCTCGTGGGGTAGTTGATTCTGTCCCCACCCGTCATCTTGAATTTTATAGTCTTTTTATGTATATAGTCTTTTTATATAGTATGATTTTTTAGCTAATTTAATGTGGATATTTATATTTGTTACTGTTGTTGATGTTTGATTTTAATTGTAAGCCACCCAGAGTCACCCTCTGGGGAAGACGGGCGGCATATAAATTTAATAAATAAATAAAGATAGAACATCCCAGTTGACTTGTCAAAGCCACCAGGAAGTACCCTTTGTTTAAGCAGAGCCACCCCTGAGCTGCCCAAAAGAAGGTGAGGTGACAAAGGGGGTAAAACCGATGAAGAAACCTGGATTTTCATTTGGTGGTGACTTTTCCCAGATGAGCAACGCTGTGAGCCTGAAGGAGCTGGCGGAGAAAACTCATGGTTACTCAGGCAGTGACCTGTGGGAATTGTGCCGGGACGCAGCCACGTATCGCGTGCGCGATTATGTCCGGAAACAACAAATGAAACAGATTGCCCAGATGCTGCACCTCAGAGACCGTGATGGAGAGGCGTAAGTCATCTCTCCTTTCTCCCCCTTCACTCCCGACTTTTCTTGGGTCCTATTGGTGGAAGATGCTGGGCTCCAGCAATTTGGCTACTAATTAATGTTCAGGAGTTGCAATGGGAAAGGAGAGCAAGGAGTGCTAGAAAGAAATGAAAGAACCAACAGGGAGCCTACCCTTTTCTTCCTTTCATGCCCAGTGACTTGGAAGAGAATTCCTTGAGGCCACTTACTCAGCTTGACCTGCTGTTTGCCCTGGAAAAGATGAGAGAATCCAAAGGAGTCACATCCGGAGCACTGACGGAGCCAGCTTTGGACTGAGTGGATGGGACTCCTAACCTGGAGAACAAAGGTTATCATCATTGCAATTACTTTACCACAATGTTTCTCAACTTCGGCCACTTGAGGATGGGTGTACTTCAACTCCCAGAATTCCCCAGCCAGCATGGCTGGCTGGGGAATTCTGGGAGTTGAAG